TTTCCTTGAAATCCCATTCGGTAATGTTCATAATAAAAAGTATATATTTTTATACAGCCCTTATCCATATTCATAATCAAAATTGGGTTTTTAATCTTGCTTTGATTGTGCTGGTGAGCTGGTACTTCCGAAGTATGTGACCTAGATGGCGGACACCTAAACGGAGTATGTGTATCAGGTCAGGGTCAGGCCATAATTTTAGGTACAATTACTAAGAGAGTCACTTTGTATTCGCTAGTCCGCAAACCTGTAATAGGACTAAAATAAGGAAAATTGGAATAAAATTATGGCCTAACCCTAACCTGGTATACATACTACGTTCCGGTGTCCGCCATCTTGGTTTGGGAGTACTTTGGGAGTACAAGTATGTGTACTAGGTAGGCTACACCTGAAAATATGGCCTAAGCCTAATCTGGTACACATACTACGTTCCGGTGTCCACCATCTTGGTTCACAAACTGCGAGAGTACCAAGAAAAGTCATTTTTATCATAATAGGTTGTGTGACATTTTAATTCTCTGTAATCAAACCTGTGACAGTTTCAGTATTATGACCGAAATAGGCAGTATAAATTTATAATCAATCAATGGGAATATTTCCAAAATAAATTCCATCAAAATTCTGAAAATTGTAATCAATAAATATGTCCTATGACATCATGGAGACATGATTGTCTGGTAATAATAGCAATATAACAAGGATTACTACCATCTTAACTATGTCTGCTAAAAAATTTTGTCTGAATGAAAGATAATAATCGAATATTTGAAATAATTAACTCAATGTTTGCAATTTTTAATTTCATTAAGAAAACAGTAACCTAGAATTTATTATTTTAATTTATTATTCGTATACAGCAAACTTTTCAATTTACTCATAAGCTACTTTTTCGATGTTCTGCAAGGTGAGATAAAAAAACGCAGGTGTTCCGGAGTAAACAAAGTTTGAGAAATGCTGGTTTAGGCTATCTCAAATTCAAATTGAAAAATATTTTTAAAAACTTTTTTAATTTTTTAATTTAAAAAAAAAATGCATTTCAAGAATAACACTATGTAACATTTACCTTTTTCAGGTAAATTTTAGTGTAAAAAAATCGAGCCGTCATAAAAATTCCAGCGATGCCGCAAACTAAAATCACAAAGCTAAAAAGCCTAGAAATTCCACTTGGTCGGCAAAAATGCATTGTTATTCGCTCAGCCGTATAATAGGAGCAAAACACAATGGAAATGTCACTGTTGGTTAGGTATTGGTCGAGGTTGTGAACTAAAACAGGCAAATAATTTGGTATGACCCCAAAAACAGAGCCAAGGTCATTTGAAACGTATTCTCAACAACCAGGGAAAATTTTGTTCGTTGTGGGGGAATTTTGTTCAGTTCAAGTTCTGTACAGTTATTTATTGTTACTATAATACTTATTTATGCACATTATAAAAATACTTAAAACTGTACAAAAGCAGGTAAAGCATCCTAGATTATCTAAACTTTTTGGTACAATCATACACAAACAGAAATTCATAAATCTTCATTTTCTGGCGCTCCAGAAGTATGTGTACCAATATGGAGGTAACTAATTTTGTTCGCCTACTTTACATCGAGTCGTGTAAAGGGAATGAAACCTATGGGCAGGGGGTATATTCACTTGGCAAACACACACAGTTCCAAACTCGTAATACAACTAAAATATAGAAAATCGAAATAAAATTATGGCCTAACCCTAACCTGGTACACATACCACGTTCCGGTGTTTGCCATCTTGGTTCACATACTTCGGGAGCACCATTTTATTTGCCATATTATCAAGCCCTGTTGGAATTTTCCTAGTGCTTGCAAAAGTTACATGACAAATTATCGATCTGGGTATCTCAGACAATTTGTCGTCAAGTATTTTCTTTATCAAAAGAACTTGTTTGTTTTCTTGTTAACTTCCTCGACAACCCACTACACAGGTCAACGACTAACTTAACAACAGGATTAAACCATGATTGGCTTGTTTTGTTGTGAAAAATGTGGGATTAAAGTTTGTGAACCAGATTTTTTCTACAAAGTTTTATAAGCTTTCACACTCACAGGGCTCTGTATAATTAGCCACTGCGTAGCCCAGAATTTTTTCAAAAAAAGGGGGGGGTTCTGAAAAATTTTTTAATTGCCAAGATCAAATGTATCAAATAGTAAGTCTGGCCGAAGATCATAAGTTTACAAGGTCTGAAAAAATTGCTATGTTAGATACAAACAATGCTTTTTTTGACATCTCATAGTTATCAGCTAATCAAGATTATTATGGTGCTATAGTTCTTTTCATATATTTTAAAAACAATAAAAGTCATTATAAAATGAAACTTTAAAAGTGGGGCTAATGATCCAAAATAAAGAATTAGATGCGGTCTGATTCAAATACCCGAAAGGTTCGGATATAGCCTGCGGCCCGCTTGTTGAGTTGCCATGCTATATAACACTGTCAGAAGTTGAATGAAACATTGAAAATAATTTACATAATTCTAGAAAACCAAATTATCCTGATATGGCCATGGGCATTACTAATAGTAAGCCACACTCGACATAGTTTCACTGTTAGTCTGCAGGGTTGATGAATCATAATGTTCATACTATGACATCATATTTGTCATAAAAGATATCCTTAAATTGTCATCCAATATGTCTATTTTAAAAATAGTTGGTATTCTAGAGTAATGATATGTAATTAATTTACCGGTAGTCCAGAGACACCCTAAACCTAACGTGGGCAAATTACTGCCATTGGGCCAAATCCGGCACGTTGGGCACTTCAACTAGCCATCCTGATACTGTCACAACTAAACAAAAACAAATATCTATGTTTTAGCTAAAAAATAGCTCAAGAAATTTGTTGAGATTACGATTAAATTCAGTTTTGGCACGAGGCTAATTGCTTTCCACTTTTGCTTTCGTGGCACTGTAAATGCTGTTAAAAAATATGTAAATTTTTGCGTCACACTTACATGTCCCGCCAGTCTGGGCGCGTGGGCAGGCAAAATTTTTGGCCCCTGGTTCAAAAACCTTGCCCACACCTGCCCCAAAGGGTTACTCACTGAGGATGTTTACCACAAGGGGATTTATGGTAAAACGACAGAAACTTACTTGACAGCAAAATTTAGATTTTAAATTTCCACGATTTGGATGATATTCGAATGAGCGTTATAAGAAAATATCGCCGGATGAGAACAGAAGGGGCCTAAGTCACATTTTTGGAAAATTGACTTTTTTCAATATTTTGGGGTTTTGAGCCATGCTCTACAAGGTGGTGGTCTTGAATTCCTGAATTTCTCAATAATAAAAATTTTAGCTGGACTTAGGCCTAAAATATTTAAGAACAGAATGGGCCTAAGTCCAGCTAAAATTTTTATTATTGAGAAATTCAGGATTTCAAGACCACCACCTTGTAGAGCATGGCTCAAAACCCCAAAATATTGGAAAAAGATAGTCCTAAGTTCCAATATGATGGGCATGAACATCAGAAATGAAATGTCCGAAACTTACATCCCTAAAAATTTGTTCAGTGCAACTTAGGCCTAAGTCACCTTGTTTTACCTTGCATCCCATACAAAAAAATTCAGAAGTTGTTGAGAACAGAATGGGCCAAAGTTTCTTATGGGGGTAAAAAAGCAGGAAGGAATTGAAGCTGAAGTGCCAAAAAATATTGATTACAAAGATATTCTCATCCACATTAAAATAACCAGAGCTCAGGACTTTACTAAGTGTGAATATCTAGAAATTCGAAAATAAAAAAATTCCAAATTGTTTTTTGCGTTTTTCTCAAAACTCAAAATTGTGACTTAGGCCTGTTCTGTTCTCATCCGGCGATATAGTTTTTAGAAACGATCACCAAAAAATTCAAATTTCCACGATTTTGATGGTAAAACTACATAATTAGTTTCTTAACAAAAAATATGAAAAAACAAACCAGCTAAGCCATGAAAAATGTCAAAATTATTTAAATTTACTGTATTATTATCATATAAATGCATGTTGCCACAGTAATACCAAAGTTGCTTAGGCCACATTTTTCAGAAATTTTTTGATTTTTGTAATTATGGATCAGGGGTCATATTTTGGTCTGGTTTTCAATGCTGTACCTCAGTGGTTCCTAACCTCGAATATTTGAAGAGCTCAATTGTGTGTTGCATTTTTAAAAAAAGGTTGGGAAACCACTGCTTTACCTGTTTTGGTTTAGGTAGTGCCATATGTCTATTCATTATTAGGTTTCGTTGCACAGATCTAGGAATGACAAAATGTGATTTCCTCAAACCTTAATAATTAATAAAATATGTTTTACTATCAAGATATGTGCTGCTGTGAATTATATTTAACATTTACAGATAACAAATATAAAATAGGGAGATCCCCCTCCCATTTACAGATATGAAGTTTACAAAAATGCCTCTTTTTTGAAATTTTAAAATGTAACACAATATAATTTGGTTCTAATGTGGCACATAACATGTCACCCTGATCATGAAATATGTCAAAATAACGTAAAAGAAGGATAAGCAGAGACCCTCAGGCATTTCAAAAGAATTTATGTTTCGTGTTTTTGTAGATAGGAATCACAGACGCTTTATATCAATGGACATCTTGTTCTGCTTGAATTACATGAAATATTGCATTCCAACCCAGGGGGTGGGCGAATGTTTCAACATATTGTGGAGGGAGGGGGGAATAAAATTTAACATATTTTTGAGGTTTTGACGTTTCACACAAATCCTAGATCTAGATACCGAAAGGCTTATCAAGATCTCCAGAGGAACAAATTTTATAGAATTAAATGTATGGAATACACAAGTCCAACGCTTCAGCCACAATTTTTTTTATCTTCCTTAATTATGTTTGTACAGTGTGTACTTTCGGCATGTAAGAAAATAAACCATCGACAGACTTTCCTAGTGCTGTCACACGGAGACAACTTAACCAAAAGACTTCAAGAGAACAAAAAAATAGTTAGATAGAATCAAATAACTGGAACTTACTTTGATATTTCCAAAGTCAACGTAGCTTTGGCAGCTTTAATTTTATTCTGAGCCTCGAGATGCGCAAGAGTTGTCACATCTTCTCCGTTCACAGTTATAATGTGATGGCCTTCAACTACTCCAGCGCGATCTGCCTTGCTCCCAGCTGTTACCTGAAAATAAAGAAGGTTTGGTATTGTTTATAATAACTGTGATTTTATAAGAACTTTTGCCAAGAAATGAAAGTTATGGTTATGGTTGATTACTGGAATACTAATGTCAATGGCTACGAGGATATGTTCATAAAATTTCAAATTAAAAAGATTGTGGTCAAATTTGTGACTTCTTTATATCCTTTAATATCAGTGGCTGCATGTATAAGGCCATGTTCAGAGAGAAGTGGCTGCTTGTACATGTCTTTTTCAAAGGAAAGTGAATGAATATGCGCCAAATAATAAAAAAATATATAATCACACAAAAATATTTGGGCAATAAAAGCAGATACTAACATACCTTAGCTAATCTGTCAAAGTATTTCAATGGTCTACTGCACAGGCATATGTTACGGCACAATTTATAACAATTACAGGGTTAACGAAGCTTAAAGATTCTGTCGAAAAAGTACTTTAATCCTATTTTAAGACATTGGTCTTAAATTTGCAACTGAAGTAGAGCTATGAAAGCTTTTCAATGTTAACTATGTTAACAGTTAAATAGTTATTTTTAAAAATCATGTTTTTAAATTCGATAACACTCATTGACTAATGCATAACCCTAGCCAAAAAATGATTTAATAAACAAATTACTTGGTAAGAGAGGGATAAAGAGTTCTAACATATGCGACGGGTGGAATTTCACCAAAAAGACCAGTTTATATCAATCTGCTGATTTAAATCTAATCTGCTACCGGATTATTGATAAAGTCTCATATTAAAGCAGATTATCTGTTAATACCACTGGAGATTTGTCAATGCTACAAAAACCATACGATTTCGTTGAAGGTGCCAAAACTAAATTTTTTAAGTCTCAATTGTTCATTGCTGAACATGTATGGCCTTATTCAGAAACATTCAATATTCTGTTATCAGAAAATACAGCTACTCCTTCAGTATCTGAACCAAGATGACGGACACCGGAACGTAGTATGTGTACCAGGTTGTGGTTAGGCCATAATTTCAAGTACAAATACTACGAGAGTCACTTGGGTAGTCGAAAATGAAGGAAAATGGCAATAAAATTAAGGCCAAACCCTAACCTGCTACACATACTAGGTTTCGGTATCCGCCATCTTTGTACTCATAATATGACAGGAGTAGCAAAATAAAAATATTATTCTAGAACAGTTGTTGCCAATCTTTTGAAGGAGAGGAATCACATTGAAACATATTAGACCAGTGGTTTTCAAACTTTCAAGCCACGCCACCTTTTTAGAATTTGTCAAGTCTCGCGCCCCACCTCAGAAATAACTATCTAACAATAAGATACAAATACCAGAGAATAAAGCCCAAATACGTTTTATTCAAATAACATGTTAGATGGAAATGTAAATATCGAAAATAAGGCGGGCAAGAAGAAATCTCACAAATATTGTTATTTTTAATCAGCTTCACGGCCCACAAAAAATTTTCTACGATCCTATTATTGGACGCGCCTCACTGTTTGAGAACAACTGTTCTAGATTCTCATTTAAATAGTTTTAATTGTCTGAACTCGCTGCACTTTAAAGATCATTTTGTTTTGCCAGTAGGCTATTAGGTTTGTATGTATATTAACAGCTCAGACAATTGAACTATTGCGCAGAATTTCATCGAGCCTCTGAAATGTTTCTTTGGGGTTTCACTCCACCAGAAAGGGTACTCCCGAAGTATGTGAACCAGGTTTAGGTCATAATTTTATTCCAATTTTCCTTATTTCAGTTCTATTAGGAGTTTGGGGACTAGCCAAGTGACTCCCTGTAGTATTTGTACCTGAAATTATGGCCTGACCCTAAACTGGTACACATACTAAATTCTGGTGTCTGCCATATTGGTTTACATATTTCGGGAGTAGGCTACCCCAGAAAGAGTTAGGGGCCAATGTTTCATCCGGGAACCACTGGCCAAAGGTTTGTTCTGTTAGCACAGTGTGTGGCAAAATACTCTGTAGCAAACTCAATGTTGCTATTCACAAGCAGATGATTTGTTTGCAGATTTGTTTACTTAAGTCAAGCTAAAACAAACAAATGTGAGCTAGAATAAATGTTTGTTCTCTGTCTGTCTTGGCAGGGTTTTACAGCAATGGTGTGGGATAGCGATATTGATTTGGTTTCTGGAGTTTTCCTACTTATCCTTCTTCTATGCTTTTATGCTGATGGATCCGTATGCTAATATTGTGAGGATGCTGTAGCGAGAATACAGATTACCATCCTGAGTGATTCAAGAGTCTTGCCGCATAGTAACACAAACACATTTTTTTATTTTTGCGAGACCATCTACTCATCCTTTTTTATGCTTTTGCGCCGGTGTATACGTATGCATATATTGCAAGGATGCTGTAGCAAGAGTGAAGATAACTATTTAGCCTTGTTGCACACAATTCTGTAAAGTATCGTCCAACCAAGGTTAAACTTCCTCAAACATAAAAACTTTGGGCTTATTAAGGCCTAGTGCAAGAGTTCTCAAACTTTCATGATTCGTATTATGGCCACTTATGCTCCCACACAGTGTTTAATCCGGCCCATTTATTTCTGCTGATATTAAGACTATAGTTTTCAAGATATAAATTTCTGTTGAAAATATCAATGAAAAAACGTCACCCCGATTGTTACATTGTGCTTATTATTATCATTTAAACGTTAGTCTAGCTTTTGTGAATAAACTGGTTTTTATTCATAGTTTTTCATATTGAATTTTGAGCCTCCGACCCAGTAAGTAAGTATATTACCGGTATCTGTAAAAAGTTCCGTAATTGCTCATCTCTGCCTAACACTTGTGCCCTCTGATCTTCAAGTGAAATACCTAGTTTTATTTCTAGTTCAGTTCAGTTATTTTATGTACCACGTTTAATAAAAGAATTAATAATGAACAAAAGCAAAAAAATAAATGTGACAGTCGAAGAATTGATCAAATTTACTCTTCAAATCAAACAAAAAATTCCAGTTTCCATAAAATAGCATACTCTTAAATGTCAGGAGATGCTTGCACAGGGTCTTATTCAGAGTGAGAAGCGACATAAATACAATAAAATCCTTCTTGAACCTATTAAGAACATTATAATTAGCTATAATTGTGTCTAGTAATTATCTGGTCTTAATTATATGAGATTGTTGAGGAAATCTGTGATTATTTTACGTAATTGTAACTTATTTTAAGTAGATTTGGATTTTGGATTTTCGGATACAATTGGTTTACAAACAATGAATGTTTGGCGCTTCAGAAGTATGTGTACCAATATGGAGGTAACTAATTTTGTTTGCCTACTTTACATCAAGTTGTGTAAAGGGACGGAAGCCTATAGGCAGGGGGGATATTCACTTGGCTAACACAGACAGTCCCCGATCTTGTAATAGAACTAAAATAAGGAAAACGGGAATAAAATTACGGCCTAATCTAACCTGGTACACATACTACGGGAGCACCGAATGTTTCCCTGAACCCTTGACCCCAGATAAATTCTCCATATAATTTACCATTTGATGGTTGTTTTGAGAGATTATTAGTGAGTTGACAAAACTAATTTACATTCTCAAAACTATAATTTTTATCAAAATATACAACCATGTGCAGATTGAAGGTAATGATAGCTAATTTCTATCTGGACAATGGCAGCATTTGCTGGACTAATTTTAGATCATTGCAACAAAATTAAAGTAGAAAGACATAATGACAATCAAAATATCAATTTTTGGAAACACAACGAAAAAACTGAAACCACGATAAAGGGAAAATGTTTAAAACCATTATTGAATATCTGCCTGGGGGAAAGAATTGTTTGAGCATTTGCATAAATCGCAATGGTTAACAATAGGAGATAAGGAAAAAATCATGACTTGAAGGTAAAGCAAGAACAAACAATACAGCTATTAGTTGAATAGCAGTAGATTGAGGTGTACTATTTGTGTTTTATTTTGTGAAAAAAATTGTTCAAAGTTTAGACACACACACTTAAAAGCCACATAATTTATTTGCGTTGCTTTACTTAGAGTTGAGTCTTCTTTAGTTATGAGTGAGTGCTGATAACATTGCTCAGAAACGAGTTTTTTTTCTTCTGAGTTAGTGCACATAACATTGCTCAGAGATGAGTCTTCTTTATAAGTGAATGCGTATAACTTTACTCAGGGATGAGTCTTGTTTTCTCCTAATGAGAACCTGCAACATAGCTCAGAAACATGTACTTCTACGTGTGGGAACTTTGAACAAAACAAAATCCAAATATTACACCACACCCTACAGATATTCAAGTAACAACAGTACTAATTGCAGAATTATATTTGTCAAACAAAAATATGTTTTGTGCTTTAGATTCAAGTTCAATGAAAGCTTATAGCATAGTCCTAATTCATTACGCTACATTTGAAAAGAAGTTTGAAAAACAAACATTTATTTTACTAATAGGTAATCCCAGCGTTATATTTCGCACCTGCTGTCGAGACTGTGCAAACAGTTCATTCACGAAAACTAATAAAAGTATTTAATGGCGTGCTCTCAAATATTTTCTCTGAACAAGGCTAAAGACGAGGCACTATATTCCAATTTCAGAAAATTTGAAAAAAAAAAACGAAAACTAGGTAATAAATTGGTTACAATCTAAAAAAAAATTTTATGCAAATATGACAAAGGTTAAAATTGTTTGTTTTCCATTTTTTTTTTGCAACTTTCAAATTTAAATAAGTTTTATTGACTTTTTTATCTTGAATATATAACTTTCATTTGTGTTTTGAATGACATTGTCCTTCACAACCAATTTAAGCCGTTTTTTACTTTTTAAATCCGAAGCACTGGTCTTTGAATATAGAAATGATTATCCCTAAATACTTTTTGTTGTACTTTGAATTTTTGTAGGTTAAAATTTATTTTGGGAGTCGGCAATTCTGATCCTGACAACTCCAGGTTTGAAAAGATGACCCCAGTCCAGCACTTGCCACGGAATCTAGATGGGGGACATCATGGAATTGGAAAACTGTAATCTACTGAAAATATCCATCTCTATCAGTATTAATGATAAAGAAATACAAATAGTACCAAAGTATAAAAGTAATTTAACCCACCTTTCCGATGGCTAGTGGCTGCCTGAAATCCCTCCCTCCTGTCATTTTAAATCCCCATGGTGATCCACCAGTCATTTTAATCCTCATTTTGACGAGATTCTGGTTCCACAATGATAACGAGAGATGAAAGAACAGCCACCAAAATGAGTCGAATGTTTTTATGAAAGTTTACAATAAACTGACAAAAGAATAAAAAAGTATATTAATTCTTGGTCAATTAAGACATTTAGTATGGCAAACTTCACAGATTGAGTGACATTGTTTCGTTTCAGAGAATCCCATTTTGCCGATAAACAGACACCCCTCCTTTAGGGGACGTCTGGACATTACTGTCCATCAATACAACGTCATCATTGAATTCCTCTGAAAAAAGTAATCCGATTTACCAAAGAAAAAGAATTTTTACCGTGGCATGCGAGAGTTTTTAGCAAAAAATGGCAATTTCGGTGATGTGGCAGTCGCGATTATTATCGAGATAAGCATGGCGCAATATGCCGCATCTGCCATCGTGCCAGGCGTCTCTCGTTTGTGAGACACATGGAGTGTTTGTTTTATTGAACCTAATGACGAGAAATAATTGGAAACTGTGGCCTACGGACATTAGTTCCCAAACTGTGGGACTTACCAATCCAGTTTCTAAAAAAAATGAACTGGACGAAAACGATTAAAAATGTTAAGGCTAACTAAACGCCATTCCCCTTTGAAATAATGTGGCGGGTACCAGGTAATCCAAACAGAATGTGGGACTATGCGAAGGACCAGTGACAAGGGAGCTGATTAGAATCGGTGAACACTAAGATCACAATTCGTCTTAACTGTTAATAATTATCGAACTAATGATGAATGACACAGAATGCAGTGGCGCATTGTGAACATAGCCCCACATCAAAATTGAAGTTGAGAGAGAGAGAGAGGCGCAAATGGGTATATCGCACATATAGGGTGGCTTACCCACTTTGCGGCCATGACCTATCTGCGACCATCAACTTCATCGATTAAATTAATGCCGAAAAAATTAACGAAACGCGCCGATATTTCTCACGCGTTATCGTCCACTTATCCCTCGTAGCTCTACGAAATTACACTAAAATGCGGCCACAAATAAAAAAGTTATGACCGAAAACCTGACCGAAGAAAAAAAACGGACCATTTTACCATGTCGCCAACTACCCATTGTTCCTTCAAAAAAGCTTGAAAATCCATACAAATATAAGAGATAAAGAGATGAAACTTGGCAGGTGGGTAGAGTTGTGTTTCTTTTACCCATCTTTAAAGTTTCGCGTTTCTATCTTCAAAGGAGGGGGAGTAGGGGGGTGCGCATTTCCAATACGTCAATAATATCTTTGTCAACTAATTTGCGACCACCGTGTTTTTGTCTGTTTGATTGCTGTGATGCGGTGCTTTGTTTATAATTTGAAGAATTTTGTTTGAAATAATCGTGTTCTTAAAATATATGACGGTCAGAAATGCAATTAGAAGCCCATTTTTTCACGCATGACTGCGTATGCCCTAGTCTCGACGCAGCAGAAACGATGTTCAAGGCTTGAAATCCGTGGTCGCACACTGGTCGTTCGGTCGCAAATACGTCTTCAGAGTGTCGTACTTTGGTGGTTTGTATAGCTTTAACCCCTGGTCGTAGGAAGTTAATTCGAAGTTCAGCGTGTAGAATAAATGCCAATGCACCTACGGTGAAAAAATTAACGGGTTAGAAATATTGGTTTTTGTTTTATAGCGGTTTGAATGAAATCGTCCGCAGACTGGCTACACCACCCTAGCTACGTTAATATAATTCAAAAACAAGCAACCCTGACAAGTTGCTCGGCAGTATGGCTCATCGTGCTCAGTGTTGGGAATACCTGAATATGTTTGCCACTGCACTTTTGAATACCTCGTATGAGTTAGCAGGTTCGAATTCCATGGATAAATTATGTGCGAGAGATTTGCTGGACTCCTAGATGCCGTATGGCGGTTCACGTAGCCGCTGGTTGGTTACGACATCCTCCACCATCAAGTCCATGAATCTAAAAAAGTAACTGGATAACTGATCCCACAACCACGATACACTGGTAATCGAATCGGTTTGCCATAGGATTAGGCCGCGTTATTTGCCTTCCTTTCCTCCAGGATAAATGTGTGAATCCTATCCTATCCACCTTCTATATCAAGTGATGAGATTCACTATTTAGGGCAAGACCGAAGACTCAAACTCGCGACCTGGGAGCAAATTGCGATCCGCAGGATGATAGCTTGTGGCCCCCACCTCAGTATTAAATTATAATGTTAGTGTGTCACTTAGCTCAGTTTGAATGATTACTACATCTTATATAAGTCATATTCTCGAATTTTTGGCTAAACAACTGAACAATCACTAATTCTCAATATTTTCAGTTATTATTTTATTTAGTCTTAATTCTGTAATTTGTTTATTTCTGGTCTGGACTTGTTTTGTGTTTGAAAAACCATTCCCATACCCAACATGGACAGTTAACCAAACGAGAGCTCGTGGTACACCAAATGATTAAGTCGTCTTATCGGCTTTCCTTTCCCTCCCGGAATAAATATGAAAATCCCTTGCTAACCTTGCACGACGACGATTCTGGCAACTCCCAGCCGCCGTCTCCCAATATATAAATCTTCCGGTTCGTATTCGTCATGTAGCCTGGATTTGCACTTTTTTGGTAAAAAGAATAATCAGTATTTTGCGGCTCTATAGCGCCAGCGCGCGGATAGACGTTAAGATTTTGACGCACGCTGTATAACCTGAACATACAAATGTACACTTCGTAAAGAAAGGCCTCCATTTTTATGTATGACAAAAATATTACTAACTGTGAAAAAACTATTGCAAATAAAAATGGTAAACTGTCAATTCATAAGAAGAAGTGGACTATTATAAGCGCGTTTCTGGACACGTTAGTTAGTAGACATAACGATCGTTTCAATATTATGTTGCTGTTGTCCTGTATCTGCCTCTATTGTTACGTACCGTTACGTAACAATCATACTGAAATAATTAATAAACATTATATATGAACACGAAAAAATAAAATTCACGGTCGAAAGCTTACATGTAAAGTTGTAAATAATTTTGATGAGTAATTTTTTTGGTATTTTAAAGGAAAATCGAGCAGAGATTCGCTTGACCCGCTGATCTGGGTAATTAATTAATGGCATCGTGCTATAGGTAGGTTACTCTTGCCTTGTGTCAGCACGGCCGATTATTCGTACTTGTACAGTAAATCCTAAACTTTGCCGACGTCATTAAAACACTGCAAAGCTCAATCACGAGGGAAGTTAATGCAATAAAAAGTTTAGTTATGACGACACAATTATAGGTCCAGCAGACATAGTTTCGTCACATAGACTCGGCATGCGTGAGCATTATCAAGGTTGTTGGATAAACGGGAAAGTTGGGTAATAATATGGCAAAGCTCAGCCTCTCTTCCGGTTACCAGTCCATGTCAGGTTATACGAAAATTTAAGAAATTATTGTTTTCAGATGCAACAGTGGTTAAGTCAACCAACACCATATGACAGAGAGGCGAGGAATCCTATCGCGAACCCGCGCAGGGTAATCAGCCGATGGTTGGCACGTTCCTTACGCTTGACACGATGCGCCAAGCTCTGTCTGTACACATGTAACAAATATTAGATCTATCTATTAACTATGATTTCATTTCACATATTCCAAGTAATTTTCAAGTTAACGTTGAACGCATGCCCACATTTATTAGCGCACATCTGGCAACTACAAACTTCATACCATTTCAGCCAAAGCTTTACGGTACTTGAGCTAAACCGAATCAAAAGGAATAAACGAGCTGTGGTGATGTGTTAGGTGAGGATCTGCTGACGAGATGGGCAACAGCGTGGCTTGGCCTAATTCACAACCTTAATCTGGCAATGCGGAGTTGCAAATCGGAATACTACAAGACATTTTCTGGATTTCGGGATTTATCAGTCTGTCAGTGTGTCTACTTGAATAATGAGCTTTGCATGAAACGTGAGTAGATGTAGATTCACGTGTTATAGATTATATCATGATTTTAGGCATTCATATTTCATTTATGATTGTCATATTTCGGATATGATTGTCGAATTTATCCCCGGGGAAGGGGAAGCCGATAAGACGACTTGATCATATGGCGAACCACTGGCCGCTGCCATTTACCACTTCATGCCGGGTATGAGATTGGTTGACCAGTTATTTGTTTCAGATGCTCGGGCTTTCAAGAGAAACAAGACTCGCAAATGATCATATAGTAAATACTGCTTCTTTTCCATACACCATCCTTCGTGGATAAGTACTCTGCGATAGATCTTCTTTTCTTCGGACACATTTTGTAACCACTGAGTCAAAGCTGCGTGACTAGAATATTAAATCAGCTTCATTTAGAAAAGGGAGTTTATTCTTGTATTTTGGGACCGTTTTTTAATAATGAATCCTGAATTAAATAACATCTGGCGCGGCGGTGTGGCTCAACGGGCTAAGCGTTAGGAATACGCTCGCCACCGCACCTCTAATTACTCTGCGTGGGTTCGAATCCCATGCAGGAATGATTATGTGCGAGAGGATTGCTGGACTCCTCGCCGTCGTTGGGTGGTTCACGTAACCGCTGGTCGGTTACGGCTTCCTCCACCACCAAGTCCATGCTTCCGAAAACAAACAATACAGTAAAACTAATCCCATACCCGACTTGGAATGGTAACCGGACGAGAGGCCGTGGTTCGCCATATGGATAAGCCGTCTTATCGGCTTTCCTCTCCCCCGGGATAAATATGTAAATCCTGTCCTATCCTATCTTTGAATAATTCGATTTAGGCCCGCTTATATCCGTTCACCCCAGTGGGCTATTCTTTCATTAATTCAGTTAATGTACGTGCTTACGTCGTCGTATTCTTTCATTAATTCAGTTAATGTACGTGCTTACGTCGTCGTCTATGTTTGACGCAATGCATCAACGCGACAAATTTGCGATCCCATTTCTGCGCTACGGAGACTGTAAATTTTTATTTATTTTTTGTTTGGCGGTCAGTACCTCTGAGCCATGAGCAATAATTAGGTCTCTTGTTAGAGTTCAGAATACAAATTAGTACAAGTAAATATACAATATCTACAGCAGTAGGCCGATAGGCGGTGTTGGGTAAAACCCACTACATTGACAATAATGGGGAGAAAGGCGATAGGTGGTAAGTTAGTACCGCAGCATGCCGTGCCCGTACTGCATCAGCCGGTAATTCTGTGTGGACACATGATGATGTCGGTACCGCGTAGGCCGCAGAGCGTGATTACGGAACTGAATACATAAGAATTTGGTGCATGTAAAGAATGTGATAGCACGGGAGAAAAAAATGGCTGTTTTCGATGTGAGAAAAACAATATCGGCCTTGAAATGGTGCGGTTAACCGAGGTCTCTGATGGAGCATTCATTAATTTAGTATAATAATTTTGTAACTGATTTTTCAACCGTTTACTCAATTTTTTGTGATTATTTTGGTCGCACCTATTTATTTACAATCATTTATTCACTTTGCCGTGTTTGCTTCTAAAATTCAGTAAATTCAAATGTCGCTGTCCCGATAATGTTTGAAAACTTCTAAACTCCAGTAAACTTTTACCTGATTTTGAAACTGAATGAATGTGAGAATTTGGTGCATGATATGGTGGTAGCACGTATATGTGTTTTCGAATTGAGAAATTTAAGATCGACCTTAAATTGATAATATTTAGGCAGACACTACGTAACAGAAAGAAAACTAAATAGAAAGGTAAAATGAATATATTGATTCATATACACAGCATTTAAAATAAGAAACAATAAAACATTTATATTAAATACACTATATAAAACATTTAGTCATGTATTAGACACAATTCTGTTTATTTTCGGGTGTCACTTAGCCAGTCGCTGCGGCGCACCATTCGGGAACCCCTGGTTTATACAGTAAATATTGAATATTCAGAAATGTGAATTACCAAAGCCACACTTAGTTTTCTCAATTTGTGTTTAAGTTAAAATAACGCTATGCAAAATAATGGTCATTTTACCCATGTTGTAGCATAGGCCTATTTAATTTATTCACTTTGGCAAATTTCCGCCGCGTGTTTATCGAACCCGATAGCGAGCGTTTCTGGATTTTCAGTAAATTATAAAGTCGTAACCCAAACATTCAAATGAAGCGTTCAAAAATTTGTGCACGGATAGAAATTTTAAAGTTATGAAGGCGGTGTTCGTCGCCAAGTAACAATGTGCGTTGTCGTAACTGGAAGACGGGCGTTTTTGTTGAAAAATTATAAATTGGGCTAGTGCTGGGACGTGTTTTAACTAATATTCATTAATCCAGTGCATAAATTGTTTTGTATTCATAATGCTTTTAATTTTAAATACATTTTGAGCAGTAAAATAAGGTTAAAAACACTTTCATTAGCAGTATTATTGCATTTTTTATCGTTTTGATTTATAGTAAAAAACAAAAGGTATCATTTCTGAAGAAAATGAAATCCGCAAAAGCACCGGAAATTGTTTGAGATTGCGAAAACCCGAAACTCGGTCTTCCTCGTTTCTATGGTAAGATTCCCCACCACCACGCAACAAATCAATTGTCGCCCTCAGTTATTTATTCGCAATATTAACTCTCCCCAAGATAACTATAAAATGCAGCCAATATTAACCATACATGATGCAACCTCGGCATTGCACAAAGCCTGGAAGTCACTGTGAAACTTTTTTCGCAATAAATACACGCCATTAATACCCCCCCTTTCGAATTTTTTGAAAATCTGAAACAGTCGTCAATAACGCGTGCGATTGGGTTTCTAAACCGCCGAATGTTTTTGTCAGTGTGGATTGTTATTTAGGCCGCAAACACATTTATATGGGTGTTTATTCTCTCTAAATCACACGTTTTCAACGAATTTGTGCCACGATAACGGTAATAATTATTTATTTTTTTGCTCGCACAGAGTTGTGAAACCGTTGAGAATTATTATATATTCATCGACGGTTAGATGCTAAAAGCAAATAAAGGAGTAAATACAATATGGGTTTTGTTGTAGGAGACCCGCCGCAGTCTAAAAATGCTTCTCTAGGCATTGAAAATCACGAAATTTTATGTTTTATAGGCGTTGGGAACCATACCATATCATCACTAAAATCATAATTGTGCGCGAAATTTAGCTTTTATCCATTTTTTATATAACCGTCGAGATTTTTATTGCCAACATTATTTATACAAGGTTGGAAACGCGTATTTTTCCCGGGTTGTGATGATTATATATATCAGGGTGGTGCGAGGTTGGCGGGCCACAAAAACTTTTGAAAATGTCTCGCGGGCCGCAGTCGGAGAAAACCCAAAAGTGATCAAAACATCGCGAATTTACTCGAATGCGATTTTACCGCTCTAATCAGTTTTTTGAGGAGGATATAGAAAGCCTTTAGTTAATTGCTTGTCGAGAAATACCGTGGTATGTTCGGTACCTTTCCTCCTGTTTGGTTTTGTAATGTCTTAAAAGTATATTCTTTCGTGACAGATATTATTTGAAAACACACCAGACACTGTGTTTAACGTTGTTGTGCGTAAGGAAATACGTTTCCTCTCAGTTTACCTCGGTCACCTATTTTATACCACTTCTTGTATGATGAATTGTTATATTTGGCTAATTTTATTACTTGTAGCGTGAGCAGCCCAGGTGCTATTGTAGAAGAAAAACCAAGTCCGTCTAAGTTGGGACTCCGGACCCAGCTAAAAAAAACTGTATCGCGCGGCGCTAAGTCAGCTTCGCGGTTCGTCACTGCTGTCAAAATAGCCAACGATTGCACTACTCATCTCAACGGCTTGGTCCTGTCTGCACACGACAATTCATTTTCCTGGTACCGATCACAGGACTTTATTCCCATATACTGATATACTATATAGGCGCCGTCTCAACGTTTATAGATACAACATTGAAATTCCTTGGATTTTAACAAATTTAATCCCGACATCGGGATTACGAAAAAGACTATTTCCAGTTGAAATAGTTTAAAAATAACTCAAACATTTTCTGCCAACAAATACAAATATCTGCCAATGGTTTAGTGTGATCTAAAATTGTTCCGTGGGCCGCACGAAATGTGTCCGGGGGCCGCAAGCGGCCCACGGGCCGCAGTTTGGACCACCCTGATATATATTATATAAGATAATTAATTCAAAGTATATTCAATCGATTTTTTGTACTAAAATAAGTTTAATTCGTGAGATTTTATAGCAGACTTTGGAAATTTTCAAAATATTTTTCTTAAAAATAATAAGGGGGCAGCATTGCGATAGAGCGGAGTCAATACGGCAAATACAGCTCATACGGGTCAAAACAAGATATAATCGGGCAGTTTACCACATATTTTTATGTCAGCAAATTGCCATTTTTTTAATGCAATGATACTTTTAGACAATTGAGTTAATAAAGCAAGACATTTTAAATATACCTGTATCGGTCATGGCTTGATTACCTCACACAAAAAAAAATCATTCCGGGATGGTTTCAAGGCGATGAAAATGTATTTTTGCTATACTGCTATAATTTATATGTATTGTCATTGTATTAATTAAATTGAATAGTATTCCGCGGGAATTTTATATCAGATCTTGAGATTTTTCTAATTGCGATAACGAATTCGCAAGATCTCAAAAATACATATCAAAACTAAATACAATCGGGCAGTTTATCTCATATTTTTAATTTATGTCCACAGGATGGCGCGATATTTTACAGTAAAGTTTTTTTATTTTGACGCAATAAAACGCAACCGCGAGTTACGTTGGACGCAAGTAAGTTAGTAAGGACATTTTGGATTCTAGTAGTTGTCATTGGTTGAATATTTTACGCTACCAAAAGTCATTCTACGCTAAAGCAAGCGGATTTTTAACGACCTCGTAATCGCGTCGACTTTGTCAGATGAGAATGCGAATTTCCGATTTTGAAAATCCTGCCTGTGCGCCTGTATAATGGGTGAAATTCCGAACTGGAGGCCTTCTGTCGTTCAAAAATATCCGCTTCTTATCAGGTGCCCATAGGGTCAGCCGGCTCAAGCAGCACGTTGTCGAAATGAGTTTGGTAATTTAATTGAATAAAATACAAGCATATCATTCTTATTTCACCTTTTATTTATTTTCACGTATAACACGTTTCACGTATCACTATATTTTGTTCGTTTCCCGAATTATTTAGAAATTTGGTACAAGAGGCTTTATTATCAGAAACTCGCCCCGGGAAGCACAAAATTCTGTCTCGCCCCTGCTTGTCACGTACCAGTAGCTACTCGCACGAAGTCTTGTAGAGTAAGAGCAGCATCACGAACAAGTATCCTCACTAGGATTGCTGATAAGTCATGAAAATGAATATTTTCTTTTATTATATTTCATTTTTGATGTATTCAGTTCGTAAAATTTTCAACACAATGTACATAATCCCGAATTGGGAGACTCAATATCTCATTGTCTTAGGTTTTCGAAGTCTTTGAAATAACAACCGGGCGTCTGCATGTTTTGCTATAAAATCAGCCTTTTTTATGTTTGGATTAGTGTCAAAACCGGAGTCATATTTTTAAACTCTCCGGAGTTGGGATTCGAATTTTGCCTTTTCAAGATTCGGAATTCCGTACTTTTAATAATGATAAACAAACAAAGTGAAAACTTTATATAATAAAATTAAGTGGACTAAGCGTTTTAAACAACCTATTAAAGATTACGTCGTTTTAAAAAAAAATTGATTTCTATAGAAATTCGTTGCTAGAGTAAGAGTCGAAATTTTCACAAAGAGTCGAGAGCCGAAGGTAACTTGGGGTCCAGTTTTAGTTTACTTCTACTTTAGTGTTTCCCAACCTTTTGGTCGCGATTCAAGTGAAGCCACGTTACGATGTTAAAAAAATGCCGTTTAGTATTTGAGCGTATTCTTCTAGACCGGTCCTAGACTTTACGACCGTTGAAAGCTGGCTTATGTCTCGCCATAAATACTTTGATTTATTAGTCCCGTTTTCAAGCCAAGATATTTTTCTTCTTACTTTTCGTCACACTTTTAGTTTCCTCAATGACTCCAATCTAATTGTCGGTCGAACTGGCAAACTGTTGAGTGAATTTGAAGTTACCATATTGGGTGACGTCATATTAGGTGATGTAACGCTTGGTGACGTCAAAATCCCAGTATTAGGAAGTTTGATGACGACTGAACGAACAGGGCGTGGCATACTTCCGGATGCCGGACGTGACGCAGATTCGTTGCTATGGTAACTTAGAGGAGGCGTGGGGGTAATGGCTGACGGTTGTTGCTCTTTCTGGTCAAATTTGTTGTCAGGACTTGGTAAAATTCTTGCCGAGCTTTCATTTTCTTTTATTTCAGTTCCAGGAATCAGTATTGGGGTTTCAAATCCCGGGAAAGAAGCGGAAAATCTTATTGGATTTCTCACGTTACGGAAAGATCTGTTAACCTTGGTCATAACGAGTTTATTCCCATCGCTCCATGCCAGTTTCTTAACAGGCATTGCTTTTATTGAAGCTTTGGGAGGAGCGCTACGCACTGTCCTCTTTTGTCGTGGGAAATGAATGAAATCTTGTTCCGGTTGGTTGGTCAAGTGTTCCGCATGACCGAGCACTTGTTTCACGTGATCTTGACGTTTCAGTTGAATCTTTCGGCCCGATAATGTCAGCCATGGTCCAAGGGGTGTTATGACGCCATAATTTCTTGCTGTCACGTGCCTGTTTTCGTCGTCCAAACTGTCGCCACTGGATGAAGAGCCGTTGAGAGCCTGCAATTGAAAAATATCAACTTAATTTTCAAACTGGGAGGCATTGTTGATACCCCTGGTTGTAAAATGTACTGCTTTAAATAAAATTCGATCCAGCGACATTTTCGAACTTCGATTATCAGCATTGAGTATTTGTAGAGGCGAGGTTTTCAAAATCTGGTCTCGCCACTAGTGGGCACTGCAGCGGTTTTCTGGGATTCACGAGTAAATCTTAACTAGTTACCATTTACAGTATTACAGATTAATTTATAGCTATTTGACCGTAATTTGTTCAATTCTTTGACCGTAATGAATTTGAGCGTTTGTTTTTTTTGGATTTTTCTTACCGGTGTTAAGAGAGTTTATTGAAAATCCCTGAGTAGGAGTTTTCCCCTGTTCGAGAAATACTGCTTCAAAAGCTACATTCAAAATTTGAAGTAAACTGAAAAACAATACATTTCCTAAAAACCTGAAAGCAAAATGTTTTACTGTGTTATCGGTATTTAAGCAAGTAGTATGGATAGCGCACCACACCCAGAAGGTAAACTGCCTGGATAGTCTACAGAGATACTGTAAAGAATAATCGTAACTTCAACATGTATTAGACTCGCGAATTTGTCACCGACCTCGAAAAATTTTCCATAGCTTCACGCTGATTCTCGGTTTAAATTAAACTATACCATAATAAATTATCAAATGTCGGCGTGTTTATTCTGTACACGCAAGGCTTATAAAGTGAAGTTACCCCAATCATGATTTTGTACTCATTAAAAGGCAATAAAATCTAAATACGAGTTTCCTGTTAATTTTAATTTAAAATCTTAATTTTTTCAAACGACCATCGTTGATTTTGATTTTGTGAACGGCATACACATTTCCGCAAAGTCGCAAAGACTGCCGCTACAGCGGTTCGTTGTTAAATCACGATTTTGTAGTTGTACTTAATTTAGCACTTTGCAGTGAATTTTTTTTTATAGCAAATATCAAACTCACTTCTACACAAGTTGAGGCGGCCTTGTCTTTACTCATTATTACACTGGAATCATATCCAGGTTATTTATTGGACTTTTGGCGTAAAATTGTGTTTATTTTGTAGCTTATGCGAGCAAAGTATTTACAATTCACTCACCGGTAATTTATCTCTTCCGGCATTTCTTCTGCTTTTTTCATTTCTCTGTTGTAGGCTGCGAACTTTAGCAATTGTTCCATTAACAGACATACAGACGCCGAATCTTTCACGAGCCTCCTGTAAGTGTATAGAGTATAGAGTTATAACTAGGGCTGGGAATGGTTAATCGGTTAACCGATTTTAGATGGTTAACGATTACGATTTATTTTAACGGTTAACTGTCATCCCAGGTACAAATCAACTTTATAATGTACGATTACATCAAAATTCATTAGTCATCGCAAATTTATCTCCTGTGGCGGTTAAATTAAAAAAAATACTAACTGTATTGGTAAGGACCCAATAAATGTGAGAAAACATTTTAAGTACCCATATAAAATATACCTGATTATAAAAATTTGACTATAATAAATTCAGAATCAGTTTTCGGTCAAAATATATTTTACTGCAAAAACGTCTGTCTTTTCAATGTTATCCAACAAGTGCGCAGTCGATGCTGTATTTCTTTATATATATCTCAAAGTAGAATTTGCAAATCGATCACTAAAAATTTGTCACATAAATGACATTTAATAACGAAATCGTTTTTTTTCTGAAATACTTCCATATGTCCAAGGCACGCTGCATATCTCTTGCAGCAGAGCGATCATGAAATCATCTCGATTCGTGAATAAGATCACGCGAAATTGCTTTGTAACCATTGTGAAATTGAAAAGCTAAAATGATAAATTACGTCGAACTTCACGCTGCGGTTAACCGGTTAATTTTACCCGGTTAACGATTAAAGCGTTTTTCCCGAAATTGCCAGCCCTAGTTATAACTCGATTCGGTGTCTGGCATGTTTCCGCCGGACATCCCGAATCAGATCCCATGGTGTAATAAATTGGGAAGACAATGCCGAACGGAAAAATCCCGGCCACTCCTGCTAATAGTAGCTCTCCACGTCCAGATACCTCTGGCCAATTATTCGGTACTTCCGTTCCATAGTATGTGAACCAAGATGGCGGACACCGAAACGTAGTACTCCCGTAGTATGTGATCCAACATGGCGTACACCGGAACGTAGTATGTGTACCAGGATAGGGTTAGGCGATAATTTTGGTACAAATACTACGGGAGTCACTTGGCTAGTCCCCAAACTCGTAATAGAACTAGAATATGGAAAATTGGAATGAAATTATAGCTTAACCTCCCTCTTGGTTCACATACTAGGGAGTACCAATTATTCGATAACAAAGGCGTGGAGTACCAATTATTTGATAACAAAGGCGTGAATACGCGTGGTATAGGAAGAAGTTGGGCCACGGATCCTTGAAGGTTAAAGTATATTTTTTACGATTCTGTATTCACTCTGAACAAATCTTTGGATAGGCAGCCACCAATACTAAGATCATGAACACCCGCTTACCTTCAGTTCTTCAATACTTTTTCTAAATCTGACAGAAGGGTCTGTGGTAACTGGACGCTGTCTGAATCGCGGCGACACATTCTTAGATGAAGGACTTCTTCCTACCACGTATTCGCTGACGAAATTTGTAGATTCAGAAAGATCATCGATTGAAGGCGGGGGCGGCGAAATGTCTGGTCGTCTGCAAATCAAAATATAGTGAATATATGAACCAACAATACAAATTTTCAAGTACTTCATTTTCAGCTTACGATTCATTAAAAAAACATTTTTATAACATACTTATTTTTCACGACTAATTCGATATATGTGCCTGTTTTTATTATTAAATGAGATTGAAACAAGGATGTGCCAAGCACACCCGCAATTCGTCGTCAATTCCAAAAAGTTTTTTTCTATTTTTGCTTTTTATTTCACTTAAATATTAGAATACCAGGAATAATTATATGCTGACATCGTAGGTCTAAGAAATACATTTTAAATACAAAAAATGTAATAACGCGTTAGGCAGAAAAAGTTCCAGGGAACTGGAATAAAGTTTCAAGATACAGCGGGCGGTAATTGAAACGCCATAAAAGTAGGCCTATATATATGCAGTATACATGACAAATGATTTTAAGCGAGTCGGGAGGGCGCCTGTGTTATTCCCTGAAGTCGCTTGTTGCAAAAAAAAGAAATACTGTTCCGAGCGATAATGTTTTTGCTGGGTATTCCAAATATGTGCGTTGCAGACTGATATCTTGGAAAAGCAGAAGCGTACAACCGTCATTCGCTTTCCTATCCAATGTTTCGGGTAAAATAAAGCAGTTTTAGTTAATTAAACGCATTATGAGGAACTCTCAGCATACTGGGTAGAGCTAAGATCTGGAGCCCGAGCCCAGCCCGACCCGACTCCAAATTCGGGCTTCTCTATCGCTGACATTTTTTTTAAATGAGGCGTTTCGGCTGTGTTTTGGCCATGAGAGACCGTGGTTTGCGAAAAAACAGAAGTTGCCTCATCAACACGACACATACTGTACTAAACTCTTCCAATGACAATTCAAACAACTCCTAAATAAACTATGAAATTTCCGAAACAAAAAAATTAAAAAATGGGAATTTCAAAATGAAAGGACCCACGAACAACCAATAGTGGTTATCGAACAGCGACTCGCTCGTACCCAATGCATTCGTCTTGAAACTGACATTTCGGTAAGAACTAAGAAGGTGGACTCGGCGCCGTATCTACGTAAAATGGCGCCCATGGCAAAGTTGAAAAATGCGCCGCTTGATAGTTGGTTAACGATTTATAATGACTGTTATTGAAATACTATACCCGTACGTTATTATTCAAGTAAAAATGCGAGTTGTCTCCAATTTGAAATTATTTTATTGAAATATATTACGATTAAAACAATTCGTAGTGCGTCTGATTTTATTTTATTTTGGAGGATTGTCTCCAATTAACTTTGGATATGCAAAAGGATGTGGAATATTTTGCGGTTACTCAGTTTTCCATACCTCGCGTTCCCCTAATTTTTTAGCCGAAAAGATAGAGTCACTAAAATATAGTTAGGCGCAGTATAAAATACATTTTCCCATCAGACCGGCCCCCAGGAATTTTCGAGTTTTGTATAAAATAGTCGAGTAGCCCAGCCCTAGATACGCCACTGGGTAGACTTTGTCGAATAGAAAGAATTTTGATTTTCGTCTCACCTGTTTTCGTCATTAACGACTTCGCGAACGAATGGTCCTGTCCTTAGAAGTCTGACTAGCAGTTCGAGTGATCGTTGGTCGTATTCGACGTTACTGTAAACATAATAAAAAGATATTCATGAGATTGTGAGCTTGCTAGTGTAAATTGAGCCTGGGGATAGGGTTATGGAGATTTTAACTTGTATTTCAAAGTCGGATATTGTGACGTATTCCCTAAATAAAAAAATCCGCCTCTAGGGATGCTCTGCACACTAATTCGTGGTCCTTTTTGTTTGATTCTGGTTAGGTTAGGAGAAGTTGAAAGTGAGACAAAAACTAACTCATTCTACCTAACCTGAGATAAAAACAGTAACAGAGAACAAATCAAAAATTAGTGGTGGGGCATTAACATACTAGTATCCATATAGTCAGGTTAGGGCAGAGCCTTCAGGAGTAAGGTGATCACAACTGATTACACTAGCTATGATCAAAGATCAATGACAGCCAATTAAGGAGAAAATTCGTCAAATACTCTGTTACGTCACGACTGGTGACGTCATTGCAACACAAAAGCATGACTTTATAGAAGAGTACTTATACTATTTAAAGTATAATTTCCCCACATACAAACTCATTCTTAAGAGGTTCTTCTGGAGCTCTTCAAATCTTTCAATTATGGTTGAAAATATAGAAGGGCCCTTTCTTGATTATTCGCAGTCTAACATTGTAATTCTTAAACTGTGCGTCACGACGTTCTTGTACGTCAGATAATAAATGCGTCGCGAAATACCAATCCATTTCCATGAAATTATTTTTTTTATCTTCCCGCACCTAATAAATGATGAAATGCTAACATCAACGTTGATAAAGAAATACAACTTGCAATATCGTGCATTTATCATCTATCGCGGGCTCATAAAAAAAATTGTCGTGTTTTGATAAGTATTTCTGCCTCTCCCCTATTTTCTTGCATAATCTCACTGGACTGGAGACGTACGTAGGTAGGGCAAGTAAGTGTTAAGGGGTATTGCCAAATATAGAACCGACCTTAAACCACTGCAATCCACTGACCCGTCCCGCGCTAATTCTGGGTGTATATCATGAAAATCAAATTATTATCGTGTATTGATCAGCACTTTATTCTGCACACAAGGCTCGTGACGTATCTTAATCGTGATTCCGTATCCAATTAAAAAGTGTTAAATGTAGAAGCTTTGTAGCGAAACCATTCGAGGAAAACTCATTTAGACTGTTTTCCAGGCTTTTATTAACTTAAAGATTACTACTATACTAAAACAAGAAAAAGAACAATTCACAAGATGTAGCAACCTTGACGCACGCTAACCAAATAAAACCCCCAATCTTTGCCACCCGACTATTAACATTTCAGATCGCTCGGCGATGGTGCCACGTTGGCCATATTAGGTGGCGCTAATTCAATTTCATCACAAGATTATTATTTATTCTCCGACTGGACCCCACTGTAGCAAAGGCCGACCCTGGCAAAGTACAAGGGTACGCTCATCCAAATAAGTATAATTTGTAGAAAAGGTAACGCAACATTTAGCTGGGTAGCTATTTTACCATTTTTGGAGAGAAAGTTTATTCTGTATTTAATTGGTCCTCAACCTTTTTTTTTTAGCTCGTGGCCTAATTCCGGAGGTCCTTAGCCCTCGTGGATCCTTGTTTGTCATTACAATATTTTTTATTGTGTTATTTTCATTGTTATATTCCGAATTCCATTAGGTTCAAACAATTCACGTTTAATAAAGTGAAAACATTCTTTATATAACGTTGTCAGGCAATGAAACTTGGAAGAACGGGCAGTTTTCTTGTAAAGGAAAAAGTAAAGTCAGTTTCGCGTCTAGAATTGTGGCCCTTACAACCGCTCTATGGCCCTCGTTGGGGGCCACGGGTTGGGGAACTCTGGTGTAGTATTACCAATAATGACTTATTCAGTATTACTAATATACGTATTACTGATATACGTGTTTTTACGCGGACATTATAAACTATTCAAAATGTACAAAAGTTGCGGGTTGCGCTCATCACTAGCTAATGATTTACAAGCAAACAAAACGAAGTTCCCATTCATAGTAAGATGGAATGAATAGTTTGAAAATTAGGAAAGGAAGGAATGTATCAAAGATCTTGAGGAACCGCTTAGTTAAAGTAAATGTATATTTTTGGCAACTGACCTTAATTTATGTTTCAAATCCTCTCTCAATCTCGAAGAGCTCATATTGGATAAAGCTTCGCCGTTTGGAAGAACCACTCCATCCATCGATGACGTCATACCTAGTGGTGACGTAACACCATGTAATTTACGAACAACCAAAGATCCACGCATCTCATTGCCAGCACTTCGAACCCGGCTCTTCGAAGGAATGGACGCCGTGCGACAAGCTCTTCTTTCCCGCATGTTGATAATTATTTATCGATGTCCTAATATGCTATTTTAATGATTGCCAACTGTGAATTTATTGCAAATATATTATTTAAACCACGTCACCGCCTCGTTCGCTTGTTTTCTGGAATGTCGACGAAAACAATGAATTTATGAGCAGTTTTTGTTTTAAAAGTGCAACTGTTTGAGAGACACAAAATTTTGTCCGCGAGCCGCATTTGGCCTGCGATCCGAATATTGATCGCTGACTTGGAATATAATATATACAGGTCTGCATAATACTACTATAGAGAATATCTGACCACGTTATAGAAATACATTTGTGTTTGTGTGCAGCAAGACTCTTGATTAACATAGATTGAAGAAAAGAGCTCTAGATTGACCTATGTATTTATTGAAACCCGCCTACCCACTCGTCCGTCAAATTCAATCATTCCATTTCGCGTTGCTATCATTTGCAGATACGCCCGTCTTAAATTATCGCAAAAATCGTTATGATCATTACTTCCAATATACAGCTTTGATTGATTTTTGGTGAACTCGAAATGACCATATCAATCTGGAACGCTTTGGCCAAACGAGACGTGTGATAAAGATCTTTCAACTACCCAATATAGCAGTTTTGATTATTGTTATATTATCCTTGCGGTTAGTGCATACGTATCTACTAACACATAAGCACTACGAAGAAATAATTAAAAAACGATATCGATTAGGTTTCCACAGGAAGCCTTGGTATTGGGTGATTTAAAATCCTCCACCCAAATCAGACTTTTCCGTGTGAACAATTTATAAAAATGAACCACTAAAAACAGTCGTTTGATTACAGTATTCTTGCAGTCAATGCACACAGATCTTCTGACATATAGGCGGAGTGAGAGTAGATGTTGTCACGCTAATCAACCATTTAATAGAAAATCCTTCAGTCCAGTGCATGCGGATTCACTGACAATAATCTATTGTTCTCAAACTCTCAACATGCTCATACGTACTGCTAGAAAAATACGTAAATATCCGTCAATGTTTTTTTAATCTCGTCACAGTATTACTGCGTCTAACACAGAGGCAGAAAATGAGCTAAGCCATATATGAAGCCTATAATTTAGGACCTTTTCTCCATTTTTCAATTCTGATGCTAAATGAAACCACAGCGGCCTGATTTTATGCGTGGAACCCTACCCTCATAGATAATGACCCCCCCCCCCCCCCCCCCCCCCCCACGTGCTAGATATTTTCTACCTGAGTTCAACTGTGTATTATATAAATATATTATATCTGAATACAATAAAAAAATATATACATATCATAAAAAAGATTTACATTTAAACTTGCAGAACCCCTAGAATGTGAAACTACCCCACTATATATCAAAAATACGCCCCCCCTCCCCCTCCAATAACGAAGAAATTCTTCCCATCGTTGCTCTATCACAACCATCTTCTAATCGCCATCCATATCTACTCCGAACACCTTCAGGTAACCGTATTGGCCTGATTTTCGTCCACTCTAAATTCTACTACCGTGCGAAATTCGCGACATCTCAACAACTGGCGACCCACATTTGATCGAATTATTCGCCGATAAACCCTTTTTCGAGTGTGTCTGTTACGTCACATAAATGAATTCAAATGTCACAATCATAGCAATTCACATGTTGTTGTTTTAGTCATCTTTTGATCATTGTGGCGTCACGACTTTCTCACGATTCTCAAGTACAATCGGACATGAAAAAAATCTCAGACAGGATTATTTCATCACAAAAAGGTAGGAACAATTGTCATTGTCACGACACTATATATCATCCAAGTTCAACAATGGGTGAAAGTAAACATTGTCATCAGTTGAAAGTCGGGAAGGATTATTGAATGGTTCTCGTCAAACCACGACACCAACCACCAGAAAACAACGGCCAAAATGAAAATATAAAATCGAAAATATGACTCACCGACACGGTACAGGGTTCTTTTGTACAAAGCTCCCGCCACCAATGCAAAATATAAGATTTGAGAAGGGTTTCAAAATAACAAATTAGTGATGCTAATGTTAGGATTCGGGTTAGTAATAATTTGAATTTCGAGCGCAATCTGTATTACCAACCTAACTGGATATTCACTATTATTTATTTTGAGCGGTGGCGAGCGTTATATTTTGGCAAGGTCTTTCCGATAAAGTTAGCACTGACTGGGTTTGCTGTAATAGTCGACAAGCGTGGCGGAATAATAGGCGTTTTTCTGCCATCGATTGGGCTTGTGCGAGACTCACTACCTACTTTCATTCTATTTGTGCTGATGAATACGTATATTATGCTTATAATACAAGGACGCTGTAGCATGAGTAAGTATTTCAAGAGTCGTGCTTACGGATAATTATGCAACGTTGTAGTTTTACTTCAATGAACCCCTAGTCTAGTGTTACGCACAACTCGCATTGTTTTGTAGAAATGTGTGCCCAAATAGTATTAAAATAATACCGAATAATCAAATAATATTAGTAATACTACATTAAAACACAAAGTAGAATTTCTGCCTAAAGCAACACAAATCCTACCCGTGAAACGTTGCTTTCAGGCATACAACATATTTCATAAAGCCAAACTCAAATATACAGCTGACTATCTTTGCTTACGTTAGTGATTCTCAACCTTTTTGAATCTATTTCTCGTTTTGTGTATTTTGGAATTCTCAATTCCTCCTCACTGTGCATAAAAAATTCCATTTTCAATCTTTAACGGACCCTTAGATTATTATCGCGTGCAACTTACATTCCGGCTTTTCTACAGTTTAAACAGTTAATAATTAATGTATGTCATAAGCGGTGACCGTACATTTGAACCCATGTACATTTGAACCCATGCGTATATCCACGGGTTCAATCTATATGCGGGTGCTAAAACCCATGGGTTAGGGTCAGTATGGGTTTAACTATCCGTGAAACAAAAAAAAATCCATAGGTGCAATAGCATACAGGTGCAATTGCCATGGGTTCAAATGTACGTGGGTTCAAATGTAATGGAACCGTCATAAGCATGCATTGCAATAATATTAAATAAATGAATTTTAGTGATACTATACTCAAATATAGTACAGTAAAATTTCCTTTCCACAAACAGCGAAATTTCTCTCAGTGAAACGCTACTCTAAGACATGTAACTCATTCCATGAAGCCAAACCCGGTTATACACTATATCAGTTTTATTTCGTTGACGACCCATGAGAATCCCACTTCATGAAACGCTGCTTCAAGTTTGAAACGTATAGCTCATTCCATATAGCTAAACTCGATTATACAATATACCGTATTTCCTGGCGAATAAGTCGCTTTTCTAGACCCAAATTTTCGGCTTGATTTTTGGGGGGTCGTCTTATTAGGCGGGTATGATAATTTTCAATTTTTTGGTGTCCCCTTATTATGTATTAGGTAATGTTCTTTTATGGTGGACACAATTGGGAGTTGAACACAATTAGATTAAAATAGAAAGACAGTTTGAATTCCCGTAGTTATTATGGATTGAATATTACGCTACAAGAAAACGTCATTATAGGCTATTTTACCCATTGCGCAAACGCGGCGACCGCATTGCATGGTAATTTGAGATTCCGATGTTGATGCGATTTCACTACCCCGACTTATTGGCAGGTTTTATGCGAAAACCAGGCTTGAAAACAGGCTTCGTCCCATTGACCGGGTAGACTTTTTCGTCGGGTAATACGGTACTAGTTTATTCTGTTAATTAACGACAACATCGAAATTCCACTCCACGAAATGCTGTTTTAAGGCATATTTTAACTCATTCCAATTGAATTTGAATAAAACATACTTTCGCCTTACTATCTGTTATTTGTAGCTTATTGTTAGCTAGTTATTTTTGAGGTGGGCCACGAGATTCGCGGCTTAAGAGGTTTGAGAACCACTGTGCTAAAGAGTAATTCCTCATGTTTTTTCACTTATAATCCTGTATTACCAAAATCTTACACTAGTCTAGTTTTATTTCGTTTACGACTTCTCAGTCTCACCGTGTCGCTTGTGTAAACAGACTCTGTCACCAGACCAGACAATGCCGAACCCCGCACCTATTGTATCAATATCCAACAGTTCTCTGAAGTAACCGAGTCACGTTCAAATAACAGTTGGCGATAATAATAGCTTCCATTTATATAACTCAAACGATATATATATATATATATATAGCTCCGAATAGGGCTCTGCTCAACCAAACATTATCAAAGATGTGAACAATTGCGTGACAGGCAATGACAGACCGGGAAAATTCAAGTCACTAAAAAACAAAATTTCATAATTACGAAAAAAAAAAAAACTGAATTGACACCGAAAGGTTGTGAGACGTGAATAAATATTGTTCTAAAGGAAACACAGAAAGGTGATGAAATGGGAAGTTTAAAATGTCTTTTCCTTGTTTATACTTCGCCGCCATAGATTTGTCTATTCCTACTACAATAATATTTAAAGTATTAAAAAGAATAAATTTCGAAAATCATTTCTTTGGGAGACGCGATGACCTTGCAAGTCAAGGACTGACTGTTTCGGCGTCACAATGCGAATATCATGCCTATCCTCACCCAATGTGTAATAAATGAGCGTAGGTAATCTCGAACCGGAAAAGTTTCTGCCCGTCAAAACGATAGTAACTCCTTAGACATCGTTGGATCTCATCAATGACCCCTTGTACAGGGCTTTGTTCAGAGCGAATAAGAGTCGTTTATAGAAAAATTCGACAAATTGCTTGAAATTGTCATCTATTCTATTATTACCTAAAATGCCACCGAAAGACATCGGAGCATATCTGGCCAGAATGAGGTAACTCAAAAGCACACGCACCGATGCTGTTTTTATGCCTCAACGATTCCGGGAAAAATCTAAGCGGACTAAACATCGATCTGGTTGAAATTACTAACACCGATTATTTCGTAAATGCCACCGGTAATCAATGAGACATGACTTGGCAGAATAATGTTGTTGAAAAGGATATGCGCCGATGCTGCTTCCTCAATGTCTCAACGATTCAGCTTATAATGATATTCGAATATTTTGTAAATATTGCTAATAGTCATTAAAGCGTGACTTGTCAGAAGACTCGATATTTAAAACCATAGACATCGATGCTGCAATCATGCTTCAACGATTCCCGGGTGGTAAGAAAGCTGACAACAAAACATTTGAAGACGTTATACTATAATCAAAAGAAGGCAGACTAATATACTTGCTATTTCGTGGTGAGAGATTTTATGTCATTCTTATTCATATTCTTAAGTAGGCACTGTCTTATCAGCTTTCCTTTCCCAAGATGAAATTATAACCTCATCAAACACATTTCAAATCTGCCTGTATATTTCGAGCAATTCTTTATGACATTAAGTGCGACTAACCGGGCGATACTTCACGTCTTGAGCCATTCCAGGGTGGTCAAGCTAAACCAACACTCAACATGGAAACAAAAGGTGATTCCATGTTCATCAATCTATGTCGCCTCGGCTTCTTTGAAATTCAGGTTGAGACAAAAATCTCGTTTGTAGCATAAGCGTAGCCAGGTGCACCCCCTCAAAAACAAAATTGTGCGCTTGTATACTTCCACCCCTCCGAAAATTTAAATTTAGGCATCTTAACACTTTTTTGGCTTGTAGTGTGGTACAGTAAACAATGCAATAAAATGGTCCATGACCAAATTAGTCCTTGCGTATATTTGTCAAGTTGAAATTACAAACTTTTGTTCAATATCAGCCATACATTTTTCTTGGAACGTAATATGTAGTATGTGTACCAGGCTAGGGTTAAGTGACTTCCGTGGTATTTGTACCTGAAATTATGGCCTAACCTGGTACGCATACTACGTTCCGGTGCCCGCCACCTTGGTTCACATACTTCGGTAATGCCTTTTCTTGAGACCTACTCTACAGGTACAATGAAATCTCCAAACCCTTTCAAATATCCTCGAATTGAAAACACTGCTTTAAATTGCATTAAAGTCTCACACCGTTATATCTCACAGCCCACAATTCCCTTTCTTGTCTCACTTATGTAACCGCGGGCACGTTCAGCACTCGTGAAAACCCTTGAAATCCCACAAACAACCCATAATACAGGCTAAGCGTTTGAAAACCAATAAAAGTTCTTTCAATTTAAGAATAAACACGATCGACTAGCAATAACTTAGGCCAGGTCTGATCCGACTATAAAGCGAAACTGAATGGCAGGATTTATCATCGATCCACGCTTAATTCAAAGTAATTTTCAAAAAATATTTCGCGTGCTTCGAGTGTTCTTGTTGGCGTATGAACAAATACAGATGTCGTAAATTGTCATTGTTTCTAAATTATTTGTGTAGTTGTTTCATCACAAACAAACCATTGTTCTGCCACAATGATAAACAAACCAAGTTTGCACTTGCAGACGACTCTTATTGAGCTGTTACGCAACAAATTGGGGTGCTCTCGAAGTATGTGCACCAAGATGGTGCACAACCTGAACATAACATGTGTACCAGGTTAGATGCCAGGTTGTGCGCCATCTTGGTGCACATACTTCCGAAGCTCCAATTTTTGAACGTGAATGTCGTTACTTTCTTAGCATTTACTCTGGTTACTAGGCACTGGTAAGGGTTGGGGGCGACATGGAGTGGTGGTTTTCAATCTTTATGGTGGGGTAATACCTCGATGTAACATTTCAGAGACTCGGGGAATCCCTATGCAATAGTTTGATCGTTTTTATTGTCTAAATTGCACAAAATATAAATATTCATACAAGCAAACCTGATGCTGGCAAAACAAAATGATCTTTCAATTTTAGTTGAACAAAATATATTGATATAGACTCAAGGAAATTGTATGAAAACTTACGGAACTCTTGGACTGTACTGGCGGAACCTCAGTTGAAAACCACTGGTATGTGGCCTCGCTTTAAGCGGAAAGAGTGGATACGCGTCGTATATAAAGAAATACGGATGCCACTTTGATAGGCAATCTCGC